GAAGGAAGACTTCGACCTCGCATGCTCGCTCGCGCGGCTTTACCGGAGTAAAGTGCTCCTCGGCCGCGGCCGCTCGATCCCGAGGCCTCCGAGGAAGAAGCCGCTCTCGCGAGATCGTCCTCGGGAGATCGCGATCTCTTTCCTCCTCGATCATGCGCCTCTGAGCCCGTGTTCTTCAGTCATTAAATCCGATATAATCACAGCGAAGATTCCCCTCTCTATATCGTTATGCGAAAATCGACTTATGTTTAATACTTACGTTGATCGTACTTTCATGAATGCAGAAATCGTTTTCGTGCGTCTGTATGTGGTATCGGAATCTAGTTTCGTTTTGTCTTGATTGCAAGAAAGTGTAACAAAAGCGACTAGATCTCTGTTGTCTGCGTCTTTAGTTGCAAATTGGTTATCATTTTTAATCGTACTTCAAGCGGGAATATTTTATTATCAATTCTATTTATGTAAGGTTACGGTCAATCTTTCTGCACAGAAATAAAAGAAGTGTTAAATCAAGACTTATATTCTTGTATATAAGCAAGAATCTATAATCTATATCTTCTTATAAGAATTTCAACTTTTTATTTCAACTTTTTTTCTTGATTAAACTATATAAATATCTTCATACAAACAAGTTTTCTTCGTTTAACGCACTTTATATCTCATTTCGAGATTATAGATTCTTGCTTACATACAGAATATAAGATGATTTAACACTTATTTTTTTTTCTCTGTGTTTTCTCTGCAATTTTTACTTACAATAATGTCGTATTTAAATGGAATTTATATAAGAATCATGAGGAGAACACGGTAGTACCTTTACCGGGTCAACGTCACTTACCGTTAGGAAGATGAAGGTGAAGATGAAGTATTATAATTCTTATTTTCGTTATTAAAAAAAAAAACTTAAATTTCTCATAATTCGTTACGGCAACTTTAGGTCGAGTGTATCGTCGCTTACTCCGAATTGCATTTTTAATGCTCGTAAAGGAAACTTGTGGTCTCGGACTTTACGATATAAGTACGTAGATATAATGTCCGTTCTTTCTCTACTTCAAAAGACCCACTCCCGGAACTCGTAATAAGACCGCGATATCCCGGATCTGATACGAAAGCAATGTCAGCCCGCGACTTCGGGATGTAAGGAAGCAACGGATCAAAGTACACACTTTCGAGTATCGCATTCGTCTTTCTATCTCCGTCATTCGACGGAACGAGACTTCGCGGCGGTCGGTTTTAGTTCCCCCGGCGCAAATAACGTTGCATCACGCGTTAATAACTCTATTCTATTACGTTCTACTCTACCTGGCGAGCTCCGGTCGCGAACGGAGGGGACGATCAATCTTTCCCCATGTCAGGGCTCGCGAGTGCGGTGCCGCGACAGCTAGCGCAGCGTCGAGATTCAGCGCGAGAAATAGCGACGCGACTGCGGCCCGATGGCTCGCACTGCCGAGAGGTAACTGGAAGTAAGTGGCACGAGCTGTCGCGTGCAGCCACGCCGCTGCGGAACGACAACACAACATAACAGGTGCGTGCTGGCGAGGAAGGGCCCGACGTGCGTATGCGTGTGCGTGCGTGCATTCGCGCGTGCGTATGCGTGTGTTCGACGCGCGTGTGTAGGCTGTAGGGATGGGATTGAGCCGATATCGCAGGCCTGTGTAAGACGTGCTCCGTCGACATTTGCCGGCATCTTAAATCGCTGAAAAATATCGCTCGCGATAATTGCGCACCACCTTTGCGGATCGGCGCGAGCTGTACGTCGGATAATCGGAAGCTGTATGGTTATCATATACGTCAAATTGACGCCGCGCGCTTATTCTACGCGCGATGTCTTTTGATAAATCCGACAAATAGGTATCGTTGAGAAATACCGCGACGCTTTGGATCAAATTGCTTTCAGGTTTAAATAACGAAGACGAACTAAGACGATTTCTCCGAAGTTAATTAATTAAGTACTTTAAAACTGCAGAGTACGTGTTGCATTTTCCAGATTGTAGTATTTTAATTAATTTTTACAATAAAAATTGCGTGACTGACAATTTAGTTGATTAAAATTAATCGACGTATTAGAATCGGATTTACGAAAGATCGAATGGTTTCTAACTTTTTTTTCGTGAAGCTTTTTTGACTGTTTTATAAACGTTAAAAAATAATTTAATATCTTCCTATTAAAATAACTGAAAATAATGATGTCCGTTATTATTTTACTCTAAATAAATAATATATTTTTCAAACGACTTTTAGTATTAGATATAATTAGAAGCTCTTTCATTTTATACGATTAATATTAAGTTTCCCTCAAGTTGCTGCGTGTGTGCTATTTTATTATTATTCAAACCAAATAACTCGTTTCGAAATCATTTCGTTATGTATTTTGCATTACTCGACTTAAACGATCGAAAGCGGTCGCGCGAGATATATCGATTAAATTGTTATCCGTTTATCGATTTCGTTTGATTAATCGATTGGGTTCTCGGTGGTTTATGCCTTGATCGATTAATCGGCCCGTTCCCATTGATCGGATAAACGATTAAACCAGTAATCTTTCACGTGACTTGATACTTGATAGATTCAATCGGATGAATCGGCTAATTGCATTCGATAAAATTCCTTTCCTTTCATTGTTCATTTTGCCTTTATAGAAAGCTTCAAATTATTCATATACAAATTTCAATATTAAATAAAAAACGACAAATATGTTAAAAGATTCGGTCAATCCCGTGTCCATCCTACGCAAAATTGTTACTACTCTTAGACAAAAGAATAAAACATTCCGATGCCTGCAAAGCGACGTGTCGCGAAAGTTGATTATATATATACCAATGGAAACCGCAATGTCGTGGATGCCCGATCGATTTCGCGATCTTGCGTCGAAATTACGTGTTCTTTTTCTCCACTCGCGCCCACGCAATACACCCGACAACATTTCGCCAGGCGGCGACAATCTTTTTTGAAAGTGCACCCGCAGTTACGCGCAATCGGTCGATCGAACGAGCGAGCGAGCGCGCGCGCGAACGAGCGCGACGCGTTGCGAATCCGATCGAGCAGCTGACGTTGACGATTCCGCGCGGATTTCTCCACCGTACCGTTCTCGCACGCGGTTACCACGATTTCGTAAAAATTGTTGTTATTTTGTTTGAATCTATAAGCCTCATCGAGATGGTATGCCGAACGCGATTCTGACGTAAACAAAGAGCCGGACACTTTCATCCCGCATTTTCGCTAAACGATGACTCACGAGCTTGAAATTCGATTGAGCCGGCGACTATTTTGCGCTCGTATCCAAGGTGAATAAAATCGCGACACGGGTCTGCGATATCTCGCCGTTTAACGCGAAACGCGCTAAACTTCGCGGCGTCCGTTCAATTCTTATCTTCCATCTGTATCGAATATCGTCCTCGAGAAATAGGGAGGGAAAAAAAGAAATTCAGGATCTATCTATTTCTCTTTCTTTTTCTCTCGATAAATTCTCGACGATAAATATACCTGGCGATAAATGTCTAGCAAAAACGCACGTCCTAGAAGCGGACGGTCGTTAGGCGAGAGTCAAACGGGCGAAATGCGAATCGAGATCTCACGGAATTAGAGAATCGCTATCGCCGAACGGGAATCACGTGTCGTCCTCGCACGTGTCTCTACTGATCAAGTCCGGTAACTTGCGCGCTACGCGGCTCGCTTTCCTCCCGGGTGATATCACCGTGCTAAAAATCCGCTCGCTAGCCCGGATCCATCCATCACGCGTGCCGCATAATCCGCATTCTCGGTGTCCGTCCCATCATTTCCTCCCTCTCTTCCTTTTTCGTGTCCTCGTCGCAAAGATCGCGCTTTAATTATCCCTATATGTCGCGCTAGAACCCTGCGAGAGGATCCTTCGAGCGTCACGCGGCTGATTTATAGAAGAAAATTTCCTCGAATATATACTGAGACTCAGCTCTGAATTTTAAATGTCAACTCTTTAATTTCTTATTAAATGTCAACGGAGAAAGTCAACTTAATATTAAAATAGAGTTGATCAAGATGATCGTGACACATTTTATAATGACAGCTATAAGAATCGTCATTTTTCAACGAATTCGCCAGCATTTTCAATGACTTGTAATTATTATTTGCTAACGTTACACGAGTGGCTTATCGAGTACATTACAAAATTCTTTGTATCGCTAGAAATTCTATTCCTTCTTTCATTCTTTTAGTCTATATTTTTCGTTTTATCTTCCATTGCAAAAAGCTAAATGTACCAAGAGTGTTTTATCATATTTTGCCATAGACTTTGATCTCTTCTAACAATTAGTTTGACCAAGATGATCGTGGCACATTTTATAATGACAGCTAAGAATCATCATTTTTCAACGAATTTACTAACATTTCCAATGACTAGTAATTGTTATTTGCCAACGTTACATGAGTGACTTATCGAGCACATTACGAAATTCTTTGTATCGCTAGGAACTGTATTCCTCCTTTTCTCTTTTATTCTATTTTCGTTTTATCTTCCACCGCAAAAGCTAAATGTATCAAGTGTGTTTCATCATATTTTGCCATAAACTCTGATCTCTTCTAACAATAAGTGATTTTTCTTGGAATACAATCAGTTTGACCAAGATGATCGTGACATATTTTATAATGACAGCTAAGAATCGTCACTTTTCAACGAATTCACCAACATTTCCAATGACTAGTAATTGTTATTTGCTAACATTACACGAGTGACTTATCGAATACATTACAAAATTCTTTGTATCGCCAAGAACTATATTCCTTCTTTTATTCTATTTTCGTTTCATCTTCCACTGCAAAAGCTAAATGTGCTAAGTGTGTTTTATCATATTTTGCCATAGACTTTGATCTCTTCTAAGTGATTTTTCTTGGGGTACAATCAGTTTCTTTCCGTCGGCCCGTCCATCAGCCCGTACATCGTGCCTCGAGAGGTATCCTCGAAGATCTCGTTCTCGGCGAGACGCGCGGATACCCCCCGGCGAACGCGACAAGCGATCTCTTACACTCACCTGCGAGAGTATTCCCTCGACGTCGGCGCGCTCGCGAGCGCGCGTACACTTGTCGCCGCGCGTTCGAACGTGCTCTTTCCTCTTTCTCACAGGCTCCTTCTCAACTGCCGTCTCGGCCGCGAGTCGCCGTCGTGACCGCGGAGCACAGCCGGCGACGTATCTCGCTGCGGAGTCGCGTAACGACGACGATGATGATGATGATGATGACGATGACGACAACACACCGCAACACTGTTCGCGACTAAGATGTAGGATGTAGCCGCGACAACCGGCAGCAGGAGCGTTTCCCTCGCGCGCGCACTCGCGGCGCGAGCTCATTTGCAGCGGCGGGTACGAGGATACGCGCGAATCTCTCGGCTGTCCCGCTCACGGAGGCTGCGGTCCAGAACCGTGCGTGTGCGTGTACGTACCGTGTGTGTCCACCGCGCGCACCGTCCAACCTGTAGTGTCGCGTACGCGGCGCGAGCTCTACTACAGATCTGAATGATTCCGCGTCAGCTGCTCGTCGCAGCTGCACTGAAGTTCCGTTGCGACTTCCACCACCGTGTGTCCGCGCGGAGTAACAAAGATCGCGCGCGGTCGCCGTGAGAGAAAGAGAGAGAGAGAGGAAACGAGTAAAGAGAAGGGAGGGAAGACGTAAAGTTGGCGGTGGTAGTAGCGGTGGTGGCAGGGGCCGCGGAGGAGGAGAAGGAGGACGTCGCGGCGCGGCGCGGCGGCGGAGAGTGGTCTTCCTCGCGAGAGAGGACGGCGGCGCGGAGGAATTGGGCGCGCTGAGGGAGGAGAGAACGCGGGAGAGCGCGTGCACGTGCGACGCGACGCGACGCGACGCGAGATCCGCGGAATATGAATAGAGACGATTGTCGCAGGTGGAATCCGGGGAGAGGGGGGAAAAATAGAGAGAAGATATTCGTTAAACGTTAGACGTGTATCTACTGTATCTATTTGCTTTTCAGCCTCGTTGCGCGAAGCAGCGGAGTTTCGCAAAATTTTTCGTATAACTCCAGTCATCTTAATTTCTCAAAAAGATGTTTTCTTCGTATTCCAGAATTAATAAGTAATTAGAAATATGATGCATAAAAGATTAGTTTTTATCGGATGTTAATATACGTATATTACGTATCTATACTTTAATGATGAATTAATATAATTAAATATTTATTTAATATGAACAATATAAAAACGGAAATATTCCCATTAATTTAAGAACACGACATTAAGCTAGAAATTGCAAGTCTAATGTAAGCAAAACAGGCCATACATCTTGTATGATGTATTGCCAAGTTTAGATTGACGCGATCAGAATGGCACGTGCGGGGCTGTACGCGTGGCTATGCAACTCGTAGTCGAATCCGTCCCGCGTGTGTGCCGGCACGGCGATGGAACGCAGCTACGCAGATGAAGAAGTCGGATGGGCTTTCACGGCCTCCGTGACGCGGAGGACAACGGAGATTGTTAGTGGATTATCCAGAAGGAGCTTGTAAACTTTTATCCGCTGAGAGTTTGGGTCGTGAGGGATGCTGGGCCGTCCTGGAGATAGAATGAAGACGAAAAAGGTAGCTATATAGAGTTAAATGAGCAGCGGGGGGAAGGCGGCGAGGAGAAAAGCTTTAGTTTTCATCCTTCGCGAGAGTGGAAGGAGGAAGATCTGGAAGATGGAGAGGACCTCTCGTGCATGTATATGTACGTCGAGAGCGGACACACCGATGTGCACGTACACATCCGCATATTGACCGAGCGAATCGCTGGTAAATACCAGAGGCCCACAGCCGAGAGTGTATATAACTTGGTATGTGTGTGTGTGTGTTTATGTTTGTGTATGCTTAACGACACGCCGCGAGGAACAGACCTCCTCGAGACGCCGAGTGCTCGCTCGCTCGTTCCCCGAACTGAACGAGCTACGTTCGGAATGCCCGCTTTCACGAGGAGCACCGACAGATAGCCCACCACCTGGACCGCAGCTCCCGCGGTGCCTCCGGACTCGACCCGCCGCGCCGCCGCGATTAGGTAAAAGCCGGTGACTCTTAGCTTTCTACACTTTCAGCTCTTGACACCACGTCGTGAAGCGAATTGACGGCTACAGCAAGAGATACAACGTTTTGTATGTACATTTTTCTGAACATTGATGAAATTAATTATATAAAAACATTTGATGCGTATGTGAAATATTTCCTCACGTTTTTAAACGCTTTACGAGTCCCATAAATAAAAGCCAAAAAGACTCTTTAAGCTTGAACCAAGTTAGAATTTATCCCATAAAATTATTTCCTCATTGTGATAAAAAAATTTTTCAATTTATTCAACTCTTCCAAATCCGGTTTGCAAGCTTTTTTATCACGGCTAATATTTACCAATCTTGATTAGTCTTAATTTAAATTCTTACGTGAATTGAAACGAGAGGGGGAGATAAAGAATAGGATTAAATAGAATTTACCGTTGCATGTTGATAGAATCGTCATTGCTCAAACTTTTTTATATCAATTAATACAACGCTAGGATGAATTACAATTACACGAATAGATATTTCTAGTATCTTCCTTTATCTAATTAACATGAATATTTGAAAGATCTCCCCGGGCAAATCTCCACAGTCGGTCCTTGAGCGACGAGATGTGCAAATAAATCGTTTAATGATTGGGAGGTTGCAACAGACGTCTGACCATGCAAGGTCAAGTGGTTTCTTCACCGCGGCGATGTTTGAACCTTCTTGCGGTTCATTGATCTGAAGTATGACTGATGATCGATGAGGTATTCCAGCAAGTGTACTGTCTCTCATCTAGGAAATTTGGCGGATGACAAACTCAATTGATCGCTACAAGATAGACCTAAGGCTGTTACTAGCGGGCATCTGCGCTCTCTCCATTACGCCTGTTAAGCCTAGACGTAAAAGCTTATGAGCATATGAAAAAAATATTTATGTTTGTCATTTCGAGTTTATGATTGTCGATTTCGCAACGACGACAATCGTTTTCCGCAATTCTTAAGTCTTTCACGAGCATAGAAAAAACCACAGAAAAAAAGAAGTGTCAAATCAACACTGACATACTTGTGTATGTATACGCAAGAATATATAATCTTATACGTATTTCAACTTTTTTTCTTGGTTGAGCTATAAAACTTCATTTAACTATATAAATGACTTCGTTCAAGCAAGTTTTTTTCATTTAACGTAATATAATCTCATTTCAAGATTATAATTTCTTGCGTATATACAAGCATATCAGTGTTGACTTAACACTTCTTTTTTTTCTGTGAGACATTGAAAGATGTAAATGCGAATACGTTATTTCTCTCTTTCTCTCTCTCTCTCTCTCTCTCTCTCTCTCTCTCTCTCTCTCTCTCT